TTGATCTGAATGATTCCTAATAAAATTATGTAAAGCCATTGAAGCAACAACAATTTGTACCTGTTTTTCAAAAGGGAAGTTACGCATGTGACGAATCATGTTCATCTATTTTTTTAAACACCAAGAGTTTTTTTCAATAGTGCATCTTAGAGATGGATGTCTTTATTAAATCTCTCTTTTGTCCCTCTTGGTTGACTTCCCCGAACTCAGTAAGATGATGTCATTCATCCTTATAAGGTACAATATATCATTTAATATGTAGATATTCTGCATCAACCAGATAAAATTTACCTACAGACATAGGTGAAAAAAAAAATATTTTCATACGATAATAAATAAAGAAACACATTAATATGACAAAAGTTGATAACTAACCAGAAGGGGGATAAGGAAATTTCAACTCTGGTCTTCTTAAGGTCTCCATGAATATATGTGAATCATGGGCATCACTCTCCCATCCCGCCCATACAAAAGTAAAGTGCATCTAAAAATCACATACATCTGTTACATTTTGAGTTGTGTTGCTCTTTCTGCCAATGTATGATAATTGCATTCTATAGGCACCACAATTGGTACATGTGCTTCAGCATTTGTCCTTATGCAACCTTCAAAATATAGCCTATATGGATTGTCGTCCTTAATTTTATTAGTGAGTCTCTTGAATTGTCAATCATGTGGGTATATGATATCAGTAGCCATGCGAGAAACAACATCTAATAGTATCCAAACCACCTAGAGGCAATCTAATCAGAGCACTGAAACCCTCTTTTAGATCATCCTATTAGTGTGCCTATGACCTAATTAAGTTCCTCTTCCTTAAAAAAAAAGTTTTGGCTAATTAAGAGCTAAAAGAGATGAAACTCTTCATCTCCTTCGGTTGAAGAAGAAAGCAGCAAGAAGAGAGTGTTCTAGAAAACCCATTCCCTTTTCTCCCTATTAACGTAAGCATACCTTCAATTTTTTTTTTCCTTTTCTTTTCTAATGTCTCAATAGTAAAAAGATCTTTTAATGGACCAAAGACCAATTGATCCAAACCTCAAATAAGACAAATTAATTTTGCTAACAATGGCCACTAGTAATCCACTCTTAATCAGAACTTAAAATTTTCGGGATATTACATAGCTACCACACAAGTTGCAAAGACTAGTTGATAAAATTCATCACCAAACTTTCATCAATAGAGGTGCTTGAATTGCTACTTCCCTACTACTGGAACTTATCTCTATAAATACAAAAAGATCACTTTAATATAAGGGAAAACTATATTCATGACAAAAATTGAATATCAACATTATAAGAAAGTAATAAAGAATCATATAATTAAAAAAATAGAGGTACATATGTTCAACCAATCCATTATATAGTGAATATTTATTCAAAAAATCTATTATAAGGTAGACACTTATTCAACCAAAATAAAAAAACATAAGTCGAAATACGATAACTCTAAGATAAAATGTGACGAATCAAACTTTCTTACCCTTAAACCACATAATTTGTCAGTTATATTACTTCATTGCAACAAACATCTCTCCATAATTCTTTCAGTGAAGATATCAATAGCTTTGATAAAGAGCTCATCTATCATTCATAACTTCAAGAAATCATTCCAAAACTTGCATTACTTTCTTAATGCTACAACCATACTTGTCCTTACTTTTAAAAGATTGTTTATGACCTTTAAATTAGGGAATTGTTATTAGCACTTTAAAAATCTCATTTGGAACTCCAAACTTTCTATAATTAGAAAGAAAAGTACACTTATGAGAGAATGAGATTTTTTTAGTGCTAATAACAGTTCCCTCAAAATATCATCTAATTGTTTTATCACCTTGGCCCCAGTTCTAGCTTTTTATTTATTTATTTATTTTTTATATTTATTTATTTATTTATTTATTTTTTTTTTTGGATGTGTTTTCAACATCCACTATGTCCTCAAGTCTATCATCATTATCTATGTCATACTCCAAATTGTCTTGATTGTCATTTTGTTCGCCCATTGTTGAAGCTTTTAGGACATTATTATTCATAAACCTTTGTGAATGGGCCATGCACCTTCACATGTAACAACTTCTTTAAACAAAATGTCTAATCAATCAACAATTTGCAATCCACTTTTTCGATATTTTGCAACTTCAAGGTTCTTCTGAAGTAATGCCAACTACAATTAACAATTTTGTGATAAAAGAACATATAACTATGAAGAAATATTCTTTGTTGATTTGAGAAAATTTCACCTTCAATTTTTTATCTCACCACTCATTGCTTGCAATGATAGTTTGCTTCACAGGATCTTATCCTAAGCCAGTCTCTATTCCAACCAAAGATGTCCACAATTTTCTCTAACACCTTTTACAACAAATTTCATTACAGACAAGAACAAATACGAGCCAGAAAATCTATGCAAAACTCAAAAAAGAACCAAAAAAGTACTACTTTGCACTCCAGCAGTAGAGCTTGAGTACAAAGCTCCACATCCGCACTAAATATTTAGGGTGCGTTTGTTTGACTTCTTTAATTTTCACTAGACTAGACTGGGCAACTTATTAGGTTAGTTTAGTGTTTGTTACGTGTAGAACTAAGTTTAATGGGATTAAACGGGACTCGCCTACACTAACAGACTCGCTAGAAGGTCTTAGCGAGACCCTTCCGCGAACCATGAGACTGGATAAGACCCTTTCTTTGCTTCACTTCGTCTCCTCACATCCTCTCTCTGCTCTACATTATCATGAACATTAGGAGCCACCATTACTTACACTCACTAGCTCTGGTGAGATCACAACACCAGACCACCACCACTATCTCACTCTTTCCTTTTTATGAACCCAGAATGACAAATGAGATCTCAGATTCGAACCTCAATCGCAAAACCCTCGAGCTCCAGTTTGAATCCAAGAGAACCTCGACGATATTCTCGGCGTCCCGCTCTTGCCGTTCTCCAATTCACCTCTGAGGAAGATCCCGCTCCTAAATAGCCGCCAATCTCTGCCGATATTAAAATCCACCATCGTCGCTACTTTTAGTGCAACTCTAATCCAACTCCCTCAGTTTGTAATAGAAACCAACACTCTTGGATTGGAGTCTTTGCATCGTTCGGCGAAGTCAACAAGCTTTGTTGTCTAGCATTGAACGAAGCCAAAAAAGAAAAGGGGCAAGAGTCCAATGATTCCTAGAATTGGAAATGTTGTGGGTTTGTGTTGGTTTTTTACTTTGGTTGGGGGTGGGGTAGCTCACGAGTATTATGGCAATGGAGTCTTCTGGGTATTATTGTGATGGCTTATTCTGCGTATATTGCTTTTTCTGAGTATTATTGTGATGACTTCTTTTTATTCTTCGTTTTGTTGCTTTTTAGTTAATTTTTATTTTTGGGTTTTTTTTTTCTTAGAATTATTATGATGAGATGATTGTTACTTCAATGGAATTCATGATACAGTTATTGGCTTTTGCTCAAAGTTCAAACTTTTCAAGTTTCAATTCCATCAATTTACATCACAAGAGATGAATTCAATAAAACTTGAAAAAGATGTAATATTTACAACAACTTGTCCAGCTTAGTCTGACATTACATCAAACGTTTTACTAAGTCAATCCAGCTTAGTCTATTATAAGCCAATCCAACTTAGTCTTTGAAGCTAGTTCAGTTGGAGATACTCCGATGCAACAAATGCACCTTTAAAGCAGTCTAGAAAAAAACGTTGTCTTAAACACAGCCAAATAGGATGGGTAAACAAGCTCTCAACTTGAGTCACAACTCCGATGCATATTTGACATCAACAACAACAAGATTGCTCCAAAAGGTCTTTTTGTCCCCTTAGTGCTTTCAGAAGTCCTTGTTAACTAGCACAACGCTCGTCTTCAATTGCCAAATACCAAAGTCAATACTCTCATCAAATTCTTCAAATATCAAATTTCGCCAACGACACAGAAAGGATCATCATGAACATCAAACAAAGCCCAAGTAGAAACCTAGGGCTCTATCACTTGTACTTTTATGCGCAAGCGGAAACGTATTCTAATAATGTATCAAATATCAATGTTGTAAGTGAAAGTGAAGAAACAATCTCAAAATAAGAATACAAGAGATTAACGTGGTTTGATGTAAAAGCCTACGTCCATGAGTGAATCACAACGAAGAATTTCACTAAACAAATGGAAATAATAAAAGAGTGTTTAACTCTCACAACCCAAAGCCCACAAATTACAAATCCTAAACTAAACGAGTAGAAAATGCAAAACAAATGGAGTAAAAAAAATCTTTGGACCATGGTGAGACCAAATATATTGGACCCTAAGGTCATATTTATAGTGCATAAGACTCAGGTTACAATGAGAATCATAATTGGAAGTAAATCTAAATCCTAATTAATCCTAATCAAATAGGTAATTAACAAAATCTCTTCACCAAGCAAGAAATCCAACTAAGAAGTCAAATCCAAACCCAAATAGGACCTCAAAATGAAATAGGTAACACAAACCTAATTTCTGAATCTTCTAACTTTGAGCCGTAAATTACAACAACTACATTGTAATTATGTACTTAATAGGTTCTTCAAATACCTTAACTTAGGAGCTATGATTGACAGAAAGGGATCCCTTTCCACCAAATCCATCTAATCCGGGATCCGAACCGTTGAATTTTGATCCAACGGCTACACACAAGGGACCCCTTTAAAAGTTATAATAATAGTAGCCGTTGGATCAAAATTTAACGGTCCGGATTCTGGACTAGGTGGATTTGGTAGAAAGGAATCCGATCCCTTTCCATGATTGACAACTAGGTATCATTCATGATCTGTGAGACCCGTGTAGCGAATAACCTGTTTCATACTACAGGGTTGAACTGAAAACGGTTTTAAGTTCATAAGGATGATTAATTGAGATTAATTACAATGTGATGGAATAATTAAAGTGCTGAAATAAAAACGACTGCAGATATTCAGACTGGGCTGAGTAATATCCGGGTTCCATCCTGACCAATTTCAGTCAGCACGAGGCCCGTGGCTGAATCCGTAATTTCAGGCACTTTCGAGCCCCTTTTCCTACTCACGGTCTCACATAGTCTCCTCTCACTCTCTAAGGCTCCCTCCCACAGGCATATCTTGTTATCTACGAAGACACCGTCGCGGAGCTGCTGCATGCTCGACGCAACCAGGTACAATCTGATACTCCTAGTCTCTGATCTTACAGTATCTTTATGCTTATAGACTGCTGTTTGGTTGCCCGAGAAAATCCGAGAAAGTTTTAAGTAGTCTCAGGAAACTGCTCGATCTCATTTCCTAATTGCTCTGAAACAATTATAGTGCACTTGTGATTTTTCATCTGTCTCTTTATTTTGTGAATCTGATCAACACTAAACTGATGTTCCAATACAATAGTTTCGACGTCACTCCCATTTTTGATTTGTGTATCAGAAGGACTGGAACCGATTTGGTAGTGAGAATTCAGATTTAGATCCATAACTTTTCGTTTATGAGGTTGCGAAGTCACTCGTATTCACTTCAATTTCGGCATTGATTGAGAATTGAGTTGCTTGGAAACTAATTAGATCAAGGAATTTTAATCCTGTGTATATAATCCCACTGTTGAGATTACAGTTAAGTAAGTGGATATAATTGACTATATGCAATTTCAGGTAATACGTGGTTAATTATCGTCGCTAAATATTTACTTAGTTTTCCCTGCAATCAATGATAAGGTTCATAAGCTTTGGCGGCACTCGCATTTTCAATTTTCTACGTTTGAAGAGAATAAATGAAGTATTTTGTTATACACTTGTAGCTGACTGTGCATATTGGAATTATAGATGATATGTGGTTATTTTAGAGTCGAAACTATTGGTTTACGATTTAACTAATTCAAGTACAAATCGTGGAATTACAAAATTGTTTATTATTGACAATGAGCTACCGTGCAAGTTTTGCTGTAATCATAATTTGCGCCTTATTCTTCTTCGATGTGCTTTTTTCGGGAGATGTTATTTGCATTCCAAAAGGTAAACTGTGAATAACCTACCTGCTTTCAAGACCTTGCTAGACTGTTTCAACCTTTTATCCGAGGCATGGCTTACTGTGAATGAACATACCATTCACGTTGGATGCTTTATGCGGGAGTTAGCTATGCTTTTGTTCAATGTTTATGTTATAGTGAAATGTTGAAATACCAATTGTAATTGGTATGCCATCTTGTAAACTGTCTTTTGCTCTCTGCTTTTTTTGCCCTGCCAACTGTTACCTGTGCATGGCCTCATTCATCAATGCTTCCTACCGCACTACGCTAATTTGGTTACACGACACATTGCTGAGTATTTTCCTGACTTTCCTTTTGCAGGGTACATAATTTCATTTCCACTGATGAATTCCTTGTCGTTTTTATCCAAAGGAATTAGCTAACAAATCCCTTCAGAAATATCTTTTGCTAAGACACTTTATGGTCCGCACTGTTACTAGATTCTGAAGGACTCAGTTCTTAAAGCCAAGAACAAGCGTGCCCTCAATATTCTGCTAGGTGCCTAGGAGCATAATAGCTGCTAAATTTATTGCAATCACTGACCTTTTGGGTTGGGACTGCATCATCCCATTAAGATCACTGCACGTGGATACATTACAGGAGAGTATAACTACAATTACAAATCGTGGTTGGGTTTGACAACTTGAGTACACATGGAAGTTCAAGGACCTTCGAATGATGCAATGAAGCACCTTCCTTTAACTCCACTGAGAGCAATTAGGGGTGTTGTGTGCTTACTTGTACTTGTTTTGACTGCATTCATGATGATAGTTTATTTCGGCTTTTTGGGCGCTGTTATAATTAGACTTTTCAGCATACATTACAGTAGAAGAGTAACATCCTTCTTCTATGGTAATTGGATAGCTTTGTGGCCTTTTCTTTTTGAAAAGATAAACAAGACTAAAGTTATTTTTTCCGGAGAAACTGTTCCTGCTGGTGAGCGCATCTTGCTTATGTCAAACCATAGGACTGAGGTTGATTGGATGTACTTGTGGGACCTGGCACTGCGAAAGGGACGCCAGGGATACATAAAGTATATTCTTAAAAGCAGTTTGATGAAACTGCCTGTGTTTGGTTGGTCGTTTCACATATTGGAGTTCATCTCTGTGGAGAGGAAGTGGGAGGTCGATGAATTAAACATGCGTCGAATGCTTTCAACTCTAAAGGATCCCAAAGATTCCCTCTGGCTTGCTCTTTTCCCAGAAGGAACAGATTTCACGTAATTTCTTGAACTGCTTCTGCTTTCCATTTTTTATTGTAGAGTTGGTATAATCTAAGGGTATGCAACATTACCTTGACTGTGCACGGTATCTATATATTGGTTCTTGTCTCAGACTTGTTATTCTATAATATATTGAATCGGTTCTTCACCCAACTATTTTATGCAGTGAGCTGAAGTGCATACGCAGTCAGAAATATGCTGCTGAGAATGGATTACCTGTCCTAAAGCATGTCTTACTTCCAAAAACAAAGGGCTTCTATGCCTCTTTAGAAGAATTGAGGGGCTCTTTGGATGCAGGTTCTCTAATTTACCTCTCATCTTTTAGGTTCACTCATTTATTTGAACTAATCTTGCATTTTTCATTACAATTTGAAATGCAAAACATCTTTTCTTGAATGCGACTGATTCGCCTTTAATTGGTTCTACCTAAAATTGACTCATCTTCAGCTAACAATATTAATTACTCGACTTATAAGCAATGCTGCCCTACTTGTAAAAGTTCCCTCTTCTTCTTTTTTTTTTTCTGAAATTTGTTTATGTTTTTCTTTATTATATATTCAAAGAATTATCCATTGACTCCCAGGATGAAACCAAACCTTGGCTTCACATAAAGCTTGTATGCTCATATGGCTTTTGATGACTTCTAGAAATTTTTAACTTGGCACTTCAAACGTCAGTACTTTATTACTCATTTAGGGCTTTGCTTTCCTGTTAATTCAAAGACTTAAATCAAGTATTTGAATATATGGATTTTGTTGTTGGTCTGTGCAGAGAGAATTTTGAAACTCTAACCCATACTGTAGAATGTCTACACAATCCAGATCTTGTCGATCAGAATGGGTTGAAGTTAGTTACAAGAATCTGATAATATTTGGACTACCTTATCTTCTTTCCAAAAAATTCAACTTCATGGAATATTCTTCTTATCGCTTGGGATGACTTTACGGCTTCTTGTTTTGAATACTCTTTCTAATTGAAATAAGGAGCAACATCTGTGGTTGGAATGCTTGAGTTGCAGGATTTTGTTCTTCATACCTCTGTATTTGCATTCATTTACTCAAAACTTTAATTGTTATTCATTTTTGGTTTACCTTTCACTTTGATGATTTACAGTCAAGTAAGTAGTAGTTTTCTCCAGAAGAAAAAACGTTGTTGGACCATATAGGATTGAGGTTATACGACTATATACTATTGAGCTTGTTTGACATTCTAGCCACGTCTTTTAGAGCATGTAGAAGGTCATTGTGTTATTTTTTCACTTCACCTTTACCTCTTAAAATGTAATTTATTCTGTCTGTTTACCGCAGTTTATGATGTGACTATTGGCTACAAACCCAGCTGCCCTACTTTCTTCGACAATGCCGCTGGTGTGAACCCGTCTGAAGTTCATATGCATGTCCAACGTATCCCCCTTGACAATATTCCAACATCTGAAGACGAAGTTACAACTTGGTTAATGAACAGATTTCATCTCAAGGACCAGTTGCTTTCTGAATTTGATTCTCAAGGGCATTTTCCTCGCGAAGGATCCGAAGGTGACCTTTCTACTCTGGAGTGCCTTCTTAATTTTGTGGCCGTAAGTATCATGACTGTAATATTTACATACCTAACCATTTTCTCGTCCATCTGGTTTAAAATTTACGTAACTTCGGTATGCGCTTATCTCACAGCCGCAACTATTTACAATTTTCGACCATCACCACTTTTTAGCCTTGTAAAAGGTTTGTTTAAGCACAAATCATCTTAGTATCGAGGGAAAGACGAGAGGTTTTAGGTTTGATCCTTCTACTGGTTGTAATTCATAAGTGGGTCTCGATCCCATACAGACACCAGAAAAGTTTCATTATTGAGAACAGTCTATGAAGCAGATTATTGTACTTACAGTTGAAAATGCCAGATCCAGAAGGGTAAATTTACTTTGCTTTTTGAAAGCTGTTCATCCCAAACGGGCATGCGAACGATGTCGTTCGATGTGTCATGTGATTTGTAGAAAATAAAATGAGATCTATTTGCAATGTATCTTCCTCCATTATAATCAAGAAATGTGAAGGATTGTAGGATTTTGAAACAAAAATTAATATGTAATTAATTAACTAGATGTCTATGCTCTACTTAATGAGTAGCAAATTTCTTTTTCAATATAAAAAAGTGATTTTTGCACACTAATTTTCTCTTTTATAAATTGTTATTTTTGGTGTTTGGGTCCAGCGGTCAAAAGAGAATCAATGAATAAAATTAAATAATAGCATGTGAAAATCATTTTTCTTTTAACATATAGCAAGGAAACATAAAGGCCTGAATGAAATGAGTGGAAACGGAATTGCACATAGATCGAGCAATTCCCTTGTTTAGTAGCATGAAAGGAATGGAAATTTGGGTGGGACCCAGCTCAATTGGGGAATCACATTCCAGAATTTCCCATAGTTGGATTTTCCAACAATCGGTGGTATTTAGATTCCTTGAATTGGTGTCCTACATGAATCAGACTTTTGTTTCAAAATTGCCTTTAATTTGTCTTCTCCAGAAATCTACCAATTTGGGAAGCGGTGGGAGGACATGTGAATTTAGGAGACTGTGAGAGGGATGTGTAGGACCCTTGAAAATGGGAGCTGATGGGAAAGGGTTGGGAAAGAAAAAAGGAAGGCGTGGTAGGGCTGTGAAAAAAAGGAAGGTGTGCGAGGGCTGAGCAGGTTGGAAAAGGAAAGAACATTACTTGACTACTCAAAAATGAGTAAGAACTCCTTATTTGTTCATGGACTCCATTATATCGAATCAGCAGGGTGCTTTTGTGCCGGGCCGTCTCATCTTGGATAACTCCTTAGTTGCATCAGAGGTAGGTCACTATCTACATAACCTCCGACGGGGTTGACGAGGTTTTTTGGCTCTAAAGCTGGACATGAGTAAGGCATATGATAAGGTAGAATGGGGCTTCCTTCGTGCTATCATGCTAAAGTTGGGATTTGATTCCAATTGGGTTAATCTCATCATGAATTGTGTTAGCACATTTTTGTATTTTTTTTTATTAGTTAATGGCTCGGCCATAGGTTATATATGTCCCACCCGTGGATTAAGACAAGGGGATCCACTGTCCCCTTATTTGTTCCTTCTATGTGCTGAAGGACATTATGAAATTTGAGCAGCTTGGTCGCATTCATGGTGTCGCTATCTGTCGCGGAGCTCTGAGCATTACCCACTTACTGTTTGCAGATGACAGTTTCTTGTTTTTACGTGCTTCATTTCAAGAATGTGGGTATCTCAAGCAGGTTCTTGGTTTACATGAGTGAGTGTCGGGTGAGTGTATTAACTTCCATAAATATGTTATTTCCTTCAGTCCAAACATAAGGTGTGAGGTTCAGGATCAATTAGTAGCATTTTTGGGCGTGACTCGGGTGGACGTTCATGACCGATATCTTGGTATTCCCGTTGTTCCGGGGCATAAGCATTCAGAGTGCTTTGCGCACATCAAAGATCATCTACGGAAAAAACTAAAAGGGTAGAAGGACAAGCTGTTGAGTGCAGCGGGCAAAGAAATCCTAATTAAAGTGGTTAGACAATCTCTTCCTATATACTCCATGAACTGTTTTCTTCTTCGGAAAACATTTTGTAAGGATTTGTAACGAATTCTCTATCGGTTTTGGTGGGGTGATAGTGATTCTTCCAGGCGCATTCATTGGCTTTCAAGGGAACAAAGAGTGGGAGGCTGGTGGCAGTGAGAGAGAGAAGCCAAAAAGTTTAGTAAACAACTTTAATAGAAATCTAATTATGATTTTCCCTCAATTAAATTCCTCCTCAATTCAATTCCCTTCAATCTGATTACGGAAGTTTAAACGAGTCAAAAATGTGATTTTCCTTTTTCATGGATGTACAGTGCTTTTGCTTATATGACTTGGATTTTCAATCATTTGTTTGTCTAACTACTCGTGAATGTAATCGAGCATTTTTTTTTTTTTTTTAAATCCCTGATCAAACTTATATTTGCGAATTGTCAACTAACTCTTAATCTATTGATATTTTTCTTCCTAATGAGTAAGATAAAAAGCCAAAAAGGTACCCCTTGTGTAGGCACACAGTGTAAGTAAGTTGATATTTCTAGAGTTCGGATCAATTTTATTTTTTTCTCATGATCACAAAAGACGTAACACTCCAATGCAACGTTAATAACATGAAAGGTGTATGTAAGTCATTCTTCGTGTCCATGGTAAAAGGTAAGATGGTTGCCTTACCCTTCTTTGAATAGTTACAGCTAAATTTAAATAATAATAAAAAATAAATAAAAAAGAAGGGGTGATGAATTAACTGCACTCCTTAGCTTCAAGTTTAGACCTAGCAATTTCTTACACGACCCGTTATCACGATAAATAAACGACACGGAAATTACGGGTTTCGGGTCAACACGATAACTAATCGGGTCATTATCGGGTTACACGATAATAACGGGTCCTTAACAGGTTTACACGAGAGTGACACGCGAGTAACCTGTTTTGACACGATAAGAAAAATGCTATTTTGATTATTTAATTTTTTTAAACTACTAAAAAAAACTTACTATAAAATGCAATAGATATAATGAATATGTATATATTTTTTATTAATTATTATTCTATATAAATTTTAAAATTTAAGTTTTATTTATTTATTTATTTATTTTTATAGTATATTATAGGCAAAGATTGAGATTAATAATCATAAAACACATTAAAAATAAAAATATCAAGTAATTTAAAAATACCGAACACGTGAAAAAATTATAATAATTAATTTCCCGCCTAATATTTCAAGAGTTTCATCCATTTCCCACCTAATGTTTGGGAAATTTTGCAGCCTATATCCATCCATTTCCCGCCAAATATTTAACCCAAAGAAACTCTAAGTGTTAGTTAATGTATCGTTTTGATGGGATACGCATCCTATGAATCCAATTTCAATGATCCAACCGTCAAACTTGTTTATATATGCTTCGAGATTGCATACGCCAAAATTTGCAAAAAACAAATATTCAGAGATCAAGTAACAAGACAAAACATTTTGACGGTTATAAACGAAAAATCACTATTTAACGGTTATTTTAACTCTGATTTTGATGATTTTTTACAGCTACACTCCTTGACCCTATATGAATACAATGAATGAATTCGACCTTCAATTTAAAATATTTACACTAGTGGATACCACAAAATCTTATGTTATACTTGATGAAAGTATAAATAAACTCTTAAGTGTTAGTGAATCTATCGTTTTGATAGGAAACGCATCCTACAAAACTAATTTCAACAATCCAACCGTCAAACTTGTTTATATGTGCTTTGAGATTGCATACGCCAAAAATTGCAAAAAACAAACATTCAGATATCAAGTAATGAGACAAAACTTTTCGACAGTTATAAACGAAAAATCACAATTTAACGGTTATTTTAACTCTGATTCTGATGATTTTTTACAGCTATACTCCTTGACCCTATATGAATACAATGAATGAATTCGATCTTCAATTTAAAATATTTACACTAGTGGATACCACAAAATCTTATGTTATACTTGATGAAAGTATAAATAAACTATTAAGTGTTAGTAAATCTATCGTTTTAATGGGATACACATCCTACGAAACTAATTGCAATGATATAACCGTCAAACTTGTTTATATATGCTTCGAGATCGCATACATCAAAAATTGCAAAAAATAGACATTCAGAGATCAAGTAACGAGACAAAACTTTTCGACGGTTATAAACGAAAAATCACGATTTAACGGTTATTTTAACTCCAATTTTGATGACTTTTTACAGCTACACTCCTTGACCCTACATGAATACAATGAATGAATTCGATCTTCAATTTAAAATATTTACACTAGTGGATACCACAAAATCTTATATTATACTTGATGAAAGTATGAATAAACTCTTAAGTGTCAATGAATCTATCATTTTGATAGGATACGCATCCTACGAAACTAATTTCAAAGATCCAACCGTCAAACTTGTTTATATATGCTTCGAGATCACATACGCCAAAAATTGCAAAAAACAAACATTCAGAGATCAAGTAACGAGACAAAACTTTTCGACGGTTATAAACGAAAAATCACGATTTAACGGTTATTTTAACTCTGATTTTGATGATTTTTTACAGCTACACTTCTTGACCCTATATGAATACAATGAATGAATTCGATCTTCAATTTAAAATATTTACACTAGTGAGTTATACTTGATGAAAGTATAAATAAACTATTAAGTGTTAGTAAATATATCGTTTTAATGGGATACGCATCCTACGAAACTAATTTCAACAATCCAACCGTCAAACTTGTTTATATATGCTTTGAGATCGCATACGCCAAAAATTGCAAAAAACAAACATTCAGAGATCAAGTAATGAGACAAAACTTTTCGACGGTTATAAACGAAAAATCACGATTTAACGGTTATTTTAACTCCGATTTTGATGATTTTTTTACAGCTATACTCCTTGACCCTATATGAATACAATGAATGAATTCGATCTTCAATTTAAAATATTTACACTAGTGGATCTTATGTTATACTTAATGAAAGTATCAATAAACTCTAAGTGTTAGTTAATGTATCGTTTTGATGGGATACGCATTCTATAAAACTAATTTCAATGATCCAACTGTCAAACTTGTCTATATATGCTTCGAGATCGCATACGCCAAAAATTGTAAAAAACAAACATTCAGAGATTAAGTAACAAGACAAAACTTTTCGACGATTATAAACGAAAAATCACGATTTAACGATTATTTTAACTCTGATTTTGATGATTTTTTACAGCTACACTCCTTGATCCTATATGAATACAATGAACTGATTTGATTGTCAATTTAAAATATTTACAGAAGTGGATACCACAAAATCTT